AGTACCAGATTCGTTTTCCAATAATGCCATTTTTAATCACATCACTCTCTTCACTGAAAGCCTTTAATAATTTCCAAGTCCATATTCCTCAACTTTACCATCACAGTCCTTCATAGTTTGGCCCAAATGCTTTGGCAATACTGACTCTCATTACTCTTTCACCAAAAAAAAATAAAATAAAAAACTACTTGAAGTAATAATTACATGGTGCCTTTGATCTTCCAAGTCTCAAAGTACTTCATAAATATTTTTACATATGATTTCACAACCCTTTAAATGGGTTTCACTAAAGGAAGAAACTCAGAAACAAAATAGTGAAAGAACACAGGGTTACAGAAATGTAACTAAAACACAGATGTTTGGGTTCTAAGATCACCATTCTTTCCCTTCCAATCAAATCCAACTCTTCAATAGCCTCTACTCCAAATACCTTGTCCCGACCTCTGTGCCTTTGATTTCTGAGTTTTCTCCATCCATCCAAAATCTCCAAGCTTTCCTTTTCAATAAAGTCTTAGTCAACACTTCCACTTTAAATAAATCTCTCCACTAAACTTCCCCACTATTTTAGTGTGCACTATTCATCTTGTCCCTTTATCAGATACTTATCATGGGCTGTTTCTTAAATCTTTAACCTGAACATGTCATTTTTCTCTCAGCAATAAGAAATTGTAGGAAAAAACGGTTCTAGGCATTATTTCTGAGTTGCCTGTAGCATCTACCACCAGTGCTAGTATACAGCAGTTCCTCGTAAAATACTTCTTTTTGTTAAAATGGAAAAACAAGAGTACCTGAGGCATAAAGGATGGTTACAATGTGCAAAAGGTAGGTACAAAAGAATGGAGCGAACAAGTTCTGGTGAAAAAGAAAAGGAAGAAGAACGAAGAAGTCAGAAGTCTGCAGTAGTGAAGACAGCACTAGTAAATCTGGTTGCAGTAGCTCACACTCCAAAGGAACACTTGAAAGGCGAATCCTAATTGCTGCAGGTAAAGAACATAGGAGGTCACTAAAGAGGTCCAGTAAAGTTTTGACAACTACAAAGGCAACTAAAGAGACATGAAAAGTACTGTATCATCAGCTATAAAACAACAATAAAGCTACTAGATGTTTTCAGTTGAGTCTCAGGATAAGAGTTAGCATCTTAGTCAACTTACTCTTTACAGAACCGCATGAAAATTTTAAATCAGCACTAGCTCTACCACATCTTATTGATCCAATTCCCTTCTTCTGCCCTCCCAGTCTTCCCCTGCCTACTCGCTTCCATTACAAATGTGTGTGGAAACCCCTGTCAGCAGATCTTTCTTAAACGTGGCTTTCAAGTTTTGCCTAAACTAGTCCTGCCCTGTGAATACGCATCTGGTTTGGAGACAGATCCTATTCTTACTAAGCACAAGGACGCAGCTACAAACCCAACCCCACTCATCGGGCGCTCCCGGTAGCTAGCCAGCCGCCCACCTACATTCCCAGAGGCCGCCACGCCTCCTTCCCTTCCCATCCCACCCTTTCCAACTGTTCCGCACCCACCGGGAATCTTGGGGTCCGGGGTCGAGAAGGACGCCAACACCGAGAATTCATTGGCCAGCTCCTGGGACTGACAGGACATCAAGCCAATGAGAACGTGGCACCGGAAAGGTTAGAGTAACACGCTTAGAAGGGGCCCTTCCAGGGAGAACACGGTTGGGGCAGAAAAATTCGTGCTCTACGAGCGCAGGAGCTCAGAAGAGTGGTGATCGCAAGTCGGTGAAAGCAGAACTTACCCACGGTGACAGCGCCCATAACTGCATCCCCTAATGGGCCTTTGGGCTAGGCGGCCGGCTCCGTCTTCCTCCCGGTGACGAATAGAGAGCAACAGAGCCGAATCCACCGTGCCCCTTAGAAAGCCGGAACTTCCGGGACGCGGCATTATGGGAAGCCACTCGGCCCAGGGTCTGCAGCGCAGACGCTGATTGACACGCGCCTCTGTGTAATCCACGCCGGAAGCTGGCGCACAGTAGTGCGGAGATGTTGCGAATGAAGTCTTTCCTGGGTGGGTTATCTATGAAGTAAATTAAATCTTTCTGAAAGCGTGGGTAACTGGTGGTGGTCTGTGATTCGGAGCCTTCTGAACGGTAAAAACGAAATTTATGCCGTTGGATCAACGTGTTGCACAGCGCAGGTTGTGGGTTTCTGGGCCGAGTCACAGGTCTGGGCATGAAGGTAGTTGATTAGTTTCCATTCTCCAGCCTGAGGAAAGTCAGAAGCTCTGTTTCAACTGGACTACTTGCATCTCGGAGGTTTCTGGAAAACCCATGTGTTTGTACCTGTAAAACTAAACAACCACAACCAAAAGAAACTACCTATACACACAAGAACATGGATGTATCTTTATGATACTTAAATTATACACAAAATTACCTACTGTATGATTGAACTAGCTTAAGTTCTAGACCAGACAAAACTAATTATGGTAGGGGAATATGAGCGTGGCCTTGGGCTTGATCCTAAGCCACTCCATTTTAAGAACTCCTGTTTGAAACCTGCAGTCTCACCAGGCATGCCTACTGGAGCGGTCCTGTGTAGCCCTCAGGCACAAACAAGTCATTTCTCACCACCCTGATTAGCTCAGAGTGAAGCCTCAGGCAGGCTGTCCTCCACCTCTTAGAGGAAAAGGTGCCCAATAAGAGGGAAAGGCGAAAAGATTAGGGTGGGGACCACCAGACCAGCTGTTTCAACCCCACAGTAAATGTCATTGAGAAATCCAGTGGCAGCTGTTAAGGACTGAAAGGGGGTCAAAAGCCTCAAAATTTAGTATAAAAGAGCAAATGAATAGACATTCAGCCAGCCAAAACTGATGCCATTACGCTGAGAGTCTGATGAGGACTTGCACTGACATCCCACACTTCTCATCGTTTGCTGATCCTCTGCATCTTCCTCACTGCTCTCAAACTCTACAGCCACATCTTGACCCTGGTGAGAGCCTCAACTTCTTCTTAGGGCCATCTCCTCAACTGGCGGTCAGCTTCACCTAAGGAGAAGCCTGTCTTGGTTCCTGACCTGATCAACACTGTCTGAGTGAGTGTGCATCTGCTGGACTTAAAACCTAAGGCTTGAGACTTTTGATCTAACACTTGAACTTAGCACGCAGAGGGAATGTCTGTCATAAGCCTGTCATGATTAAGTGTGTTTTCAGTGCTTAGAATTAATTAATCTAGAATTGTTCGCTGTGAATTTATCTAGAATTGTTTGCTATGAATTGATTTTGTCTATTGCAGTGCCTAGCATTAAGGATTGTCATTTTTCTTGACTAAGAATCTATAGAGTGAAATTGTATTGAATGATTTGAGTGAAAAAAGCATTGAAAATGGCAGAGCCATGTGGACATTCTTTATTTCTCCTTGACTTAGCACCTTTTGCCCATCGAGACTGGGACAAAACATCACAACAGTGGTTGCCTTTGCGGGAAGTTGAGCATGAACTGACTAGGAAAAAGCTTGAAGGAACTTTTCTGAAGTGGTAGTAATGTGCTATATCTTAGTAGGAGTTGAGTTACATAAGTATGCTGAGGCTGGCTTTGAACTCAGGATCCTCCTATCTCAGCCTCCCCAGCAGCTGGGATTACAGGTGTGTGCCACTGCGCCTGGCAACCTTATCAACCTTATCTTTGCTTTAAAAGAATATCATCTGAATGGCAAGAAGTTGATTAACTTTCATTGTCTTTACATAGGAGATTCCAGTAGCATCTTTCCAGCTGTGATAACCCAAAATGTCTTCAGAATTGCTAAGTGAACAAGGGGAATCCTTTCTTGAGAATTGCACTGCAAAATTTTCACTGTAAAATTCTCTTTGTTTATGCTTAAAATTTTTCATAATAAAAGTTAGAAGTAGATTATATAATGGCATGAAAAATGCCCAATCAAAACACCAAGTAAAAAAAGATATAATTATGAATACCTGTGTATTATCATATTTTTTTAAAAAGTTGTTAAAAGTTAGCAGTTATATCTAAATTGAATGTTTTCAAATCTTCATTCATAAAATTATAAAACATCATAAAAGTGTAGTGCACGTAGTTGGACAGGGAAGACAAAAACGTTTCTAACTATTCTCGTGTTGGGAGTCTCCTTCAAACGGTCCTTCCATTAACAGGGACAAATCTGTGGATGGATATGGTTCCTTCTACCTTGATTACTGGACAAGAACACTTAAGGTTGCCACGCCAACATCTATCCCCTCTCCAATCTCCCTATTGTCTTGCTACTCTGGTTCAGGGTCAAGGGAATAGATTAGAAACGCACAATCTGGGATTCCTTTCCCAATATCACCTACCTAATCCCGACCTGACGTTGTTCGCGTTTGAGGAGCTTTACTTTAAAGGACCAATCCTGGCCCTACTAAATGCTGCCCGGGTCACTCCGACAGTGACAGCAACTGGGAAACGACAATGAGGTTAAATGAGGAGAAATACAAGACTGAAAACTGCGACACAGAAGCACCTGCGGGGTCAAAGAACTATGCAGTTCCAAGTGCAGAGGAGAAAACGCGCGGCCGCATTCCGGACCAAAAGGTCAGGACAGTTATGACTTCCGGGACTGGAAGCCTCGCGCGCGTTGGCGTTAGTCCGGAGAGTGCTGTCCCATTTTTCCCAGGCCGCCCCGCAGGACCGGCTGAAGCTTCAGTCGCCCAGCCCTGGAACTTTGTCTCCCGAGGGGATATGTAAGCCAGGAAATCCGGGCTTACAGCAGCGATGGAGCCACGGTTCTAGGTGAGTGTCTCGGCAGGAGCACTGGTAAAGGGGACTGAGAGTCTTCCCAGCGGAGAGGTCACACCAACTTCCTGGAACTTAGTACGTGATAAGACCGCCTTCCCTCGCTCTGCGAGTCCACTCATTGGTCCAAACCCACATCGCCGTTTCCTAGTCCCGCCTATAGCCTCTCAGAAGACCCAATCAGGAGCGACGGCGTCTGCCTGATGCGCAGTTACTGGGAAACGTCGCGACTAGATCAATCAGAGCACTGTCTATGCTTTGAAAAGCTAAGCTGCAAGGAGAGCTGGTTCCACTCCGGAGGCTCGTGTTTCGTTATACATTTTAACAGCAATTACTGAAATCTTGGGTAAGAGAGTTCTTTGGGGGGTTTTCTCGTCAAAGAAAATAAGTTGTCAAATAAGTGTCTTAACCTGTGACCTTAGTCCCCTGCTTGACCCACGGGTAGTTGTGTGCTTCTTTGCTAATTTCAATTTGTCTTCCCCAAACTCATGAGATCCTCTCCAAACTTCACTCCCTCCTGGCTGACTTTAAACAAATACATAGCTTGAAATAAGTGTAGGTAGCTGGATGTGGTTGGTGCACTCCTGTAATTCCAGCGACTCAGGAGGCTGAGGCAGGAGGGTTGCAAGTTCGAAGCCAGTCTCTGCAATTTAGCGAGCCCCTGTCTTTAAAAAAATAAAAAGGGCTGAGGATTTAGGTCACCAGAGGATTGAGCACCCCAGAGTTAAATCCTCAGTACCAAAAAAAAAAAAAGATTTTTTAAAAAATTAGCCTTGACTTCCAAAATTACACCTCAGCTAAATCTCTAATAAACTCCAAAATCATATATCTACCTGCCTGTTGGACATCTCTATTTAAAGGAATCTTAATAGACTTATTACTTGATTTGTTGAAAACCAAGCTTCAGTTTCCATAATCTTCCCCATCCAAGTAAACAGAAAATCTTACCATCCATTAGCTTAAATCACAGAGTCATTTTTATGTAGCTCATGTAATTCATCAGTAAATCCTGTTGGCGCTCTCGCAATGCCCTGTACATTGCTCACCTCCCTGAGCACCTCCCCTAATTCAAACCACCATCATCTCTCCCCAGGTTATTGCAGAGCTTATCTGCTCTTCCTGCTTACCTCTTCCTACCTTGTAGCGCGTGTGAGCCTCTTCATAAGTTAAGCCCCTCTGGTGGTCTTCTGTACCAGGGAGGATAAAATCCAAAGTCCTGGATGGCCAGGATAAAATCCAAAGTCCTGGATGGCCCTGTAAGTCCCAACATAAACTTCCCAGTTTATCTCCACTAACCTCCTCTTCTTTCCCTCTGGTCCCAGTTCACTCTACTTTAGCAAGCTAGTCTAGCACCCTCCTGCCTTCTAACTTTTGAATATGCTCCTTCTCGTTGGTAGGTGCATGGCTTTCTTTTTCAATTCCTTTGTCTTGCCTGCCATCACTTTTCCTGACAACCCTGTGTACAAACACTTTTGTCTCCCTGTTGTTCTGTGTCCTTGTTGTCATTTTCAATCTTTATAACAGTTATCCCTTGGGCATACATATTTGTTTTTTCATGTCATGGTCTCTCACTAGATTTAATCTCTATGACAATTGAGATGTTTGTTCCTTTTATTCGTTGTTATAGTGCCAATGACAATGTTTGACACATAAAAACTACTTGAGAAACATTTGTTGAAAGAATGACAAATAATCATTATAGCAAGAAGTCATATAACTCTACTCTGTTACCAGTCATTCCTTTAAGCACTTTTCACACACTTGCTTAATCTTCACAGCACCATTATCATTCCTGTTTTGGAGATGGGGAAACTGAGACTCAGGTACATCAAACGACTTGCCCAAAGTCACACAGTTAGTGGCAAAGCTGGGAGTTGTACCTTGTACAACTGAAATCTGATAAAGAGTCCATACTTTAGCCAGTTGTGGTGGCTTACACCTGTAATCCCAGCTGCTCGGGAAGCTAAGACAGGAGGATTGAGAGTTCAAACCCAGCCTCAGCAAAAAGCAAGGCACTACGCAACTCAGTGAGACTCTGTCTCTAAATAAAATTCAAAATAGGGCTTGGGATGTGGCTTAGTGGCTGAGTGCCCCTGAGTTCAATCTCTGGTACCCACCTCCCAAAAAAGAGTCTGTACTATAAACTATCACAATTTTTTTTTTTTAAAAAAGGTAAATTCGGGGCTGGGGTTGTGGCTCGGGTAGAGTGCTCGCCTAGCACATGTGAGGCACTAGATTGGATCCTCAGGACCACATAAAAATGAAATAAAGATTAAAAAAAAGGTAAATTCATTTTCTCTAATAATTACCAAGTGAATTGTTTTCTAGCATTATTCAACTTCAAAAAAGACTAGAGAAGATGTTTATGGAATTACAATAAATCTGGGAATTTTAAATAGTTATGAGAAAATTTTAAATAATAGCAAATGCTTAAACTATGTTAAGTGAAAATAGTAGGATATAAAATTATATGAAGTTTGGTTACTAAAGAAAGCATTGTGATTGAAGGATGGAAGAACACATGTATCGCTAACAATTGTTCTATTTATTTTTATACTAGGAATTGAACCCAGGGGCACTGTACACTGGGCTACATCTCCAGCCCTTTTTATTTTTTATTTTAAGACAGGGTCTCGCTAGGTGCAGAAGTTGGCCTAGAACTTGCAATCCTCCTGCCTCAGCCTCTGAGTTGCTGGGATTACAGTTGCATGTGCTACTGTACCCAGCCTCTAATGGTTATTTGAAAAAGACTCAAAGGTGGTGAGTAATCATGATAATATTTAAACTACAGAAGTCTGGATGACTAGGTGGCATCTTCTGCTCTTCTGTGGTAAAAAGAGCTAAATCAATTAGCCAGGAAAAGAATGTCCTAAAGTAAGATAGGTTTGGGGTAGACAGCATACTAAATTGACCTCTTAAAAAGTCATTGCACTGTTGGAATCTACCAATAAGGATTCTGAAAAAGCACATATAAAATGTGTACAGGCTAATCAGTACCCAAGGTCACCCTAAAACACCCTGTTGAACTTTGTTTTGTTCACTCTATCTCAAGAGCTTCTCCTAGCACCAAATGCCTTCTGTGATTCCTCTCCCCCCACCCCCAGCATGGCATTGACACTGTAGTAATCAGTGTCTTAAGGAAATCAGTTGAAGATTCACTGGGATTGGGAATTATATGGTGTTGACATTGATTTATACTCTAATCTGTGGAGACAGTCCAATGTGTTCAAGAGTGCTTCGTATTTTCTTGATTTATGTCGAGTTAACTCTAATGAATGCAGCACCCTGCCACCTTTCACTTTTAGTCATTCCCATAATGCTTAATGGGTTTTTGGCAGGACATACCTATAATTTTATTTTTTTTAAGTAGAACTTTTTTTACTCTTCAGAAGTACTATATAATAAGTTAGCTAAATCATTGAAAAAAATACCATTTCCTGGTATTGAAGAATAAAACTAGGGGTTGAGGCTGTAGCTCAGTGGTAGAGTTCCTGCCTCACACACGTGAGGCACTGAGTTTGATCCTCAGCACCACATACAAATAAATAAATAAATATATGTGGCCATCTACAACTAGAAAGTATTTTTCAAAAAGGAATATAACTATATTGGATGAAATAAAGTAGACTTGAACAAAGAGAAAGACATGTTCCTAAAGAACTTGATAATACTTTATCCAAGGCAGCCTTTGTGAATTGGATCCATTTTCAGTGAGCTAGCATTTTGTGCTACCAGATCTATAAAACAGTCTTATCATGAACAGTGGATAAGTTCACTGCACAAGGTAACTTTTTAAGAGTGTTCAGCTGGCCTTCCATGGCCTCTAAGCTGCCCCACCCCTTGTTCTCATTACTGGTGCCCAGCCAACCACTATGTGAATCTCTTCCTAAAAGTCCATGCTTTCTTGCCTGCTTCCTTGGAGCCCTGCCTAGAAACTGCATATGATCATCATCATCGTAATAACAGTGTGCAGTGTGAGTTGATAGACATTAGAGGCAACGTGCAAGATTCTCCCCGGAAATAGACACTTTGAAGAGACTCTTTAATAAAGGGGCCTTTTCCAAAGGTGTGGCCAAGTTCAAAGGAACAATTACACTCCCCAAGTGCAAAAGCCTGCTGGAGCCAGGGACAAAAGGAATGCCTGAAGAAACTGTGGTCTTCAAGAGCTTCAACCATGGTCAGAATCCTACCAAAGCAAAGAAGGAAGAATGAAAAAATACCCTGGCCTCTTTCTCTTCCCATTCTCCCATGTCCTGTGAGCACATAGACTGAACCCAACCACAAAAGGCAGAGGGATAAGATGCTTTCAGGCTATGGAGGTCAGCTGCGTAGAGTTCAGGGCAGAGATAAGGACTAAGAATGGATTTAGAGGACAAGCAAAAAGAAAATAATCATAACAATGAGCCCCTGAATTAGATCTTGGTAGTTGGGATTGTGAGGAAGGCATAAGTTCAGGTGTGTACAGTCATCCCTCCATATCTGTGGGTTCCATGTCCATGCAACCAGTTATAGATTGAAACCAATTATAGATTAAAAATATCCAGGAAAAAAAGTTATGCCTGTATGAACAGATTCTTTTAGACTTTTTTGTCATTATTCCCTAAACAACAGCTATTCACACGGCCTTTGCATTGTATGGAGTGTTATAAATGATCTAGAGATGATTTAGAGCATATAGGAGGATTGTGTAGGTTATATGGAAGTGCCATACCATTTTATACTTTGCTGAGAGTCGGAATTGTCCCTGGCATTTTACCAGAAGTATGGTTGAGAGGCAGCCATTAAGATGATGTTGGATTGAAACAGGTTGTGTATTCAATTGTATATTAGACCTTTACTGTCCGATAATAGGATGGCTCTTGCTGCCTCGGGCGCCCGCTACTTTGGAGTTCCCTTTGAGTTCTCGCCGGTTGCGGTTGCGAGAGTGGGTCCGCTTGGTGTGTGGTGTGTTCCTGGAGGAGCCACGTGGGTGGCGTTAGGGAGAGTTCCCGGGGAGTGTGTGCGTGGAATGCTGTGGGAGTTCAGAAATAAAGTTTGTTCCTGCTTGAGTGGCTCGTGATTTGGTGCCCAGCCAGACTGCTGCAATACTTGAGAATCCCTGGAATGTAATATTTAAACATCAATGCCTACATTATAATTAGTGGCTTTTGAATATATCTGAGTGAAGCTGTTAGACAAAGGAATTATTGATAAACAGGAATAAATGAAAAGTAAATAGATATTTAAAAGGAAAACAAAAATAGTTATATAAAATATCAAAAGCTTAGTGAACAAAATTGGGAATTTTTAGGTAATTTTTTTGTTAAGTAAATAAATATAAATTTAAAAAAAAAAAAGAATCCCTGGAGTATAGAGTATAGTATCTGCAGGGCATCCTGGAACCAACCCCCCATGAGTACCAAGATAACTGTACTGTTTTACTTGTGCTTGGGGAGGCTACAACCTTCATCACTTAGCTGTGCTGCTTTCCCACCTCAAAGACTAGCCTTGAACCTATGATCCTAACTTTAAAAATGTTAACAGGGATTACTTGATTACTTACTTCCAGAAGCTCTCCTCCATATGCCTTCTTCACCTATCTGTGTCTTACACTTTCATGAAGGTTCAGCTCAGATCCTGCCTTCTTCCTCAAATCTTACCCTTTTTTTGGCCCATTTCATTGATTATGTGCTCATGTTATTCCTATGATAATACCTGTGTCATTTAATGCAACCTTTTTGTTGTTACTTTTGTATCCTATTAGATGTGTATCCTGATCTTCAAACTAAGTAATGCCAGGAAGACATGAAGGTCAAAGCTTTACATATAATAGCTGCTTGATAAACTTTTACCAAAGATGAACAAGAATGATGTGAAGACACCACTGATTTAAATAATGATGTTTGATTTCACAAAATAAAATCTTTTAAAGAAGGTAAGCCAAGTTTTCCTGTGTAGCAATGAGGTGTTTTTTCAAAAGAGTAATCATTCTTTTTCTCTGCTCAATTTAGAGATAGTACATGCTAATGACAAAATTTCCTTCTTCCTTCAACCCCTTTCAACCAACACTAATTGGTGAATTCATTTCTAACTCTTTTCCATGCATATACAATTATGAAATAATAATATAGCATGAGGCCCTGGGTTGGATCCCTAGCAATGAAAGGAAAAAAATATATATGTGTGTGTGTGTGTGTGTGTGTGTATACACACACACACACACACACACAATATGTGACTATAATAATATATATAAAATATATATGTGAATACTGTGGGATATATATAGATATAGATATATGTACACACATTGTTCTAGCTACTTTTTTTCAGGTAACCGTATGTCATGAACATCAATGACAATAGACATTTTTAATGACCTCATAATATTTTCTTGTTTGCATGTATATTTATTAAATTAGTGTCCTATTGTTGAACATTTGAGTCATTTCTGATTATTTTTCTTATTCTATGCAATGATTTAATTAACATCTTTAGTTTTCTGATATGAAACATCAAAACTCTGCTTTGGTGTAGACTTAGGGAAAGATAGAGGCCACCTGCAGAAGGCTTTATCTTCGTGTTTTAATTTTCTTCTGTCATTTGAATTTGTACTTTGTACTTTGTGTTGGTGGAGATACTGGGGGTTTAACCCAGGAGCACTTTACCACTGAGCTACATCCCAACCCTGGTTTTTTGTTGTGTTTTTGTTTTTTTGGTTGGGGAGAGATACCTGGGATTGAACTCAGGGGCACTTACCCACTGAGCCACATCTCCAACCCTATTTTATATTTTATTTAGAGACAATGTCTTACTGAGTTGGTTAGCGCCTCAACATTGCTGAGGATGGCTTTGAACTCATGATCCTCCTGCCTCAGCCTCTCAAGCCACTAAGATTATAGGCATGTACCACTGTGCCAGGCATGCTTTTGATTTTTTTACTCTGAGACAGGGTCTCACTGCTAAGTTGCTGAACCTTCTATCCTAACTTTAAAAATGTTAACAGGGATTACTTGAGCTGTGGGATGATTAGCCATTACTTGCTCTTCTTTATTTTCTAAAAAGAAGTTAACCATACACATAACTAAATTCTCTTACTCATTTATTCATCCTAGGTTTCCTCTCTTCTGGATATATAATTGGTATAGCTTTTTGACTGTAATTTGTTTACTTCAATGAAGTTGGTCATTGTGGTAGCTGAAAATATCAGATGTACTATATAGATAATAAGAAGAACAAAGGAATTTAGTTATTATTAGAATAGTATGTCTCTCACTGGATTGCCCCCACATTTTTGGTCTTGAGCATAGTACATCTGAAAGTAGAATAAGGAGGGGAAAGATTGATTAAATTTCATATTTTATGAAAAATCAAGTACCTTTTGGTAAGTACCCATGTTAATCTATTGAGTTCTCTCAAGATTGTTTATGTAAATTGTCTCTCTTATTCTTACCTCCTTAGAAACTTACAGATGTCCAAAAATGATTGAGATAGAGCAAGCAGAGGCCCAGCTCTCTGAGTTAGACCTGCTGGCCAGTATGTTTCCTGGGGAGAATGAGCTCATAGTGAATGACCAACTGGCTTTAGCAGAACTGAAAGATTGTATTGAAAAGAAGACTATGGAGGAGCGATCTTCAAAAGTTTACTATACCATCAATATGAACCTAGACATATCTGAGAAATCAATGGTAATTCAACTTTGTTTTGGTAAGAATTAGAACATGCCAAGACTTACAGTAACACTTACGGCATTCTTTTCCCTCTTTTCCTTTGTCTTTCTTCTTGCTCTTCTCAGGAGATATTTTCTCTGGCCTGCATTCTTCCCTTTAAGTACCCTGAAGTTCTGCCTGAAATTACTGTCAGGTATGTTACACTAATTTTAGAAGTCAAAAGTCATCAGAATAAAAGCAGTTCTTGAGTTTTCTCTTCCAAGAAAATTGATTTAATTTTTCCCCCTTCTTTTCCATCAGATCAGTATTATTAAGTAGATCCCAGCAGACCCAGCTGAACACAGATCTGACTGCATACCTACAGGAGAATTGTCAAGGAGATGTCTGTATATTGAATGCCACTGAATGGGTTAGAGAACACGCCTCAGGCTATGTCAGCAAAGATGTCCCATCTTTCCCCACCACAGAAAGTGCAGTCCAGCCAGTTGATCCCATTCTTACAAGACTTTGGATCTACAGCCATCACATCTATAACAAATGCAAAAGAAAGAATATTCTAGAGTGGGCCAAGGAGCTTTCCCTGTCTGGATTTAGTATGCCTGGAAAACCTGGTGTTGTTTGTGTGGAAGGTCCACAAAGTGCCTGTGAAGAATTCTGGTCAAGGTTTGCTTTCACATAGTTTATATATCACGTCAATAACAGCAGTAAATGAGGTTTTGGTTAGGATCAGAACCAGAATCATAGCTGATTAAAATAAACACCAATGAGATAAAAGTAAACTTAAGTAAGAAAAAAAAAAGATATCTTTGCTTATAAGATAGGACATTTGCTAAACTGTTTTATAACTTCTGTTTTTAATGCTATAGAATATTTAACACAATTTTGAAAATTTCCACTTTGAAAATTTCTTTTCAGACTCAGAAAATTAAACTGGAAGAGAATCTTAATTCGCCATAGAGAAGACATTCCTTTTGATGGTACAAATGATGAAATGGAAAGACAAAGGAGATTTTCCATTTTTGAAGAAAAAGTATTCAGTGTTAATGGAGCCAGAGGAAACCACATGGATTTTGGTCAGCTGTATCAGTTCTTAAATGCCAAAGGATGTGGGGATGTTTTCCAGATGTTTTTTGGTGTAGAAGGACAGTAACTAAGGAGAAGAGTATTTTGTATTTTGTCACTGTTGACTTTTTGTTTTTTCCCACTCTTTTTTGAGAGATGAAGTAGTTTTAAGTTGAGTGCAGTGGCACACATCTATATTCCCAGTGACTAAGGAAGCTGAGGCAGGAGGATCACAAGTTCCAAGCTAAAAACTAAAAAGGGGCTGGGGGTGTAGCTTTCTGTTGGAGCACTTGCATGTTAGGGTAAAAATAAAGCAAGAAAAGGAAGTGTAGTTGATGAAAATGTCATGATTTAAAGAACTGCATTTCAATTTTTAATCTTTAAATTATCAACAGAAATTTCTTGACATAAAAACTACTGATTTTGAAAAAGAAATTACTTATATAATGACAAGTTATTACAAGTTGGTAGCCCAACTTGTCAGCCATTCCCAACATCCCCTTTTCCTTTATCTGCTATCAATAAAGAAGTTGGGAAAGCTTAACTGCTCACCTTCGCAGCCTCTGTTGCAGCTACAGGTAGCTTTGGGACACATTTGCAGGATTTCTGGGAAAGATTTGCTTCTCAAATAGAAGTGATAAAAGTGGCTAAGCCATCTTTTTCCCTATTTTTGAAACAAATACTGAAGTTATGGAAGAAGCTGGAATGGTCCTTTCAAATGAGAAAGGAAAGATCATGGGAACCAAAGAGATACCAGTGCTCATCATGTCGGTCTGCTGATCCAGTACCATCCTCTGACTATCTGTAGATATCTTATTATGAAATAAAACCAGTTTTATTTAAATTTCTATTGATTTTGTTTCTTGTTACTAGCAGCTGAAAGCTAGTTTGCGAATAGATTTTGATTTCTTCAAAGCTTTAGATCAGTGTCTACCCCTACCACTTGACATACTGATTGTGAAGTTTTTCTTAGTTGTTTTGCAGTTCGTCTTCAGTTTAGTATACTTATGGTCTGCCCCTGCTCCTGGGCTTGCCTCACAGAAGGCTGAGGTGTAAATAGAGCTTGTACTTTTCAACGGATCGTATCAAATTGGTAATTTAGAGAATTTTGGCAATTTGAATTTTGACAAATATTTTTATTCTAGAAGTGACTTTCTGGAAATTAATTTTTGGCAAATTGACCTAGAGTCAAATAAACACACTGCCTGATGTTTGAGTCCTCTGTAAATCAGTTGCAGAAGTATTTATTAAATACTTGTTAATTGCTAATTGGTAACCATATGTTGAATATTCCTTGAAGAGTCAGACTTGGTTAGGGTTGGAGTAAGATATAAAGCATTGTTTACCTTTGTTGGAGGCAGTACATGTGTCCATCACTGAGTGAATCAGTAGATAAAATATATATATAATATGTTAATATGTAAAAGTTAGAAGGAATAAGAGATCAAGGCAATGTGGACATATCTTAAATGTAAAGATGGCTAAACACAGATGGGAATCAGAATGGCATTAAAACACAGTGCTGCTGGGCGCGGTAGTGCAACCTGTAATCCCAGTAGCTTGGGAGGCTGAGACAGGAGGATTGTGAGTTCAAAGCCAGCTTCAGCAAAATTGAGGCGCTGAGCAACTCAGTAAGACCCTGTCTCTAAATAAAATACAAAATAGGGCTAGGGATATGGTTCAGTGGGTAAGTGCCCCTGAGTTCAATACCTAGTACCCCCACACCAAAAAAAAAAAAAAAATAGTGCCCATTTTCATGTCTTCTGTACTCTTCTGTATCTCCTTATTGTCTCCTTGCTGCACACCTCCTGATAACCCTGTCATTCACCCTAGAAATACCATTTCTTACAGCCATACCAACCATCTGTGTGTCTAGAGTTTTGACTCTTCTAGCCACTACCAAATTTGGATAAAATTTGATATCCCTAGAGACCACCAAAGGGACCAAATTATGTATGTATTACTTTTAACAGAATTAGTCACTGCATATTATCTTTAAAAATACAATGTTATGTACAAATAAACATCAAAAGTAATAAAAACAGGCTGGGATTGTGGCTCAGTGGCAGAGCACTTGCTTAGCATGTGTGAGGCAAGGAGTTCAATCCTCAGCACCACAGAAAAAATAAATAAAGGTATTATGTTCATCTATAACTAAAAATATTTTTAAAGAAAGTAACAAAAACATAGACTACAAGAAAAAGATTTGTAAATTCTCTTCCCCAATACAGACCGCCTGTCAAATTTAGATATTATGATATAAACAACAAGAGAAGTACAGATTTTGCAATCTCATGAATAACAAATTCCTTTGAAAATAGAAAAAAAGTATTGCAATCATCAAAAGAAAAAAAAAGCAAGTTAGGTGATCCTGCCTATCTTATACATTGTAAGAGACACAATAAAAGCTATAAGAGGGCTGGGGATGTGGCTCAAGCGGTAGCGTGTGTGGCACGTGTGCGGCCCGGGTTCAATCTTCAGCACCACATACAAACAGAGATGTTGTGTCCCCCGAAAGCTAAAAAATAAATATTAAAAAATTCTCTCTTTAAAAAAAAAAATAAATAAAAGCTATAAGAATCTGAAATTAAATGTTAAAGGCAATAGCTCTTATGTCCTCTGAAACAAAAACAGAAATCTAAGATTAGTTCCACAAATCTAAATTAATTGAGAAACAAAGCCACACTGATTCCAACTGCATAATTTTAAGCACATTTGCTTCTGTTCCGGACTACAGCTTTTCAGCACTTAAAAACTATTACACACTCAACTATTATGCAACTTTTTTTTTAAATAAAGATGTTTATCAGGGAAACCCAACAAAAATCATTGAGGAAATTCCATAAAAACTGCAAGGCAGCTGACAAGTCCACAGCCCAATTGTGCCAGGGCAGTGTGGGTAGATTGCAGGAAAAGCCACAGCAGATGCCTGGAGATAGCATGGAAGACATGATTTACTGGAGAAAACTTCCGTGTGTATATGTGATTGCTCCAAGAAAAGTATAGTGGCGACGTGCTGAACCAGTAGCACCTCTAGCCCTCAAGGTGCATAGCCAAACAGCACCCTCCTCCCCCTCATGGTGTTTGGTCGGTCCATTGGCCAAGGGCTGGAACCCTGACAGGCATCCTTTCCACAGTGCTTTCAGCTCCAAGCCAGTCTCCTTTCAGATAGCGGTTTTTTATCTTATGCTGCAGAAGCAGTGACATCAACAGCGTTCTCTTGTTTATACGCGGAGCACTGGACAGAGCAACTGTCCTGGCGTACCTGCAAGAGAGTAGCTTTCTACTAATAACACTAACCTTTACTAGTTCCCAAAGTGCACAAGGGTCCTTAAAGATAATATCTAGCTGGACTTCCCAGTTCGATCTGCTCCCATTTCCCTTAGCTGGGCTAGGTTTGGGGAAACAGAAAGGAAGCGTTCAGGGACATGATAATCTGTCCCCCTTTGCTTTAGGGATAATACGCCAATCTGATGTCACTAAATTCGGGGAAGGGTTGTAGGCTTTAATGTTCTTCATTATCTCTAAAACGTGAGCGGCGGGGCCTGGCGAGCGAAGAGCCAGGTCCTTCGGGCTCCTTGTATTCTGGGGCGGTAGCTCACAGCAGCTGTCTCTGAGCCCCTACCGGCCACCACCGCGCGCCCAGGCGCAGCTTCAGCGCTCTGGGAGGATGCGCTAGACCGACCCTTCACGCGTGCGGCCATCCTGTGAGGCGTGTCCCTGAAGCACTAGCTGGTGGGCTGCCAGTCACCTGAGCGCGGGGACTTCTGGAGAAGTTGCGTCACCTGCCGCAGGCGCTGCGGCTCGTGACCTAAGCTGAGTCCTAAGGGGCAGACTTATCCTTTCGCCCTGGGTACTGGCATCGCGCAGCCACCCAGGTGCTGCTCTGGTACTGAGATGGCTGGCTGTTTGCTTGTTGGTGCTTACTATCTTTTGGAAAAAGAAGCCTCGATCCGGGTTCCACGTTCTTGGGAAATTTCCTACACGTTACTGCAACAGAGAGAATTTGAGGAATGATGTGCCTTGGGACCCGGGTGACACCTTCAAGGTCTACGAAATCCCCGAGTTTACCCATAGCATTTCTGAAATAGAGGTTCAGTTTTTCCCCGGTGGGACTTTTCGGATTTTGTAAACCTACTCCTGCCACTTCCAAAACTATCTTTCTCTATCTATACATCTATAAATCTATCATCTATCTATATATAGGTGTGTGTGTGTGTGTGTGTGTGTGTGTGTGTGTGTATAACCCTTTTGCATACACGTATGTTTTCTTTTTCAAATACTGTACATGCTGCCTTGTTTTGCCTTCTATGATTAAACAAATTATAAACGTTTCATGACATTAAATATTTTTCAACAACATGTTAAAATACTTGTCTGAGTGTTTTGCAGTTGGTTTGAGCAGTTCACTGTTTTGATTATGAAGTCATAACATTTTCCAGGGTTTTGGTTGTTTTTTTTTTCCCATCAGCAAAGTAACTGTGAGCATTCATTATTGTCTCTCCAGATTGCATTTGTAGAAGTGGAAATTCACAGTGAAGTCTGTATTTTAATCTCCAAGTTCCCCTTGTGAAAATTTGAGAAATTAAAATTAAAATGCTTCTGAAATTTTCTTTTTCCCAGATTATTATCAAATTGGGTTGTTATTTTGCTAATATAACAGATGAAAAAGTACATATTGTCCCTATGTTGTCTTCATTTAACTTTTAAAGTGGTTTTAATTTTTTCATATGTATAATGGTCAATTACATTTCTTTTTGCCATGAATTGTCTGTTTATGCCTTATTTTTATTGTAGAAGTATCCTTAAAATATTAGTAGTTTAATACTAATATTAAAATAGTAAGCACACCTGTAATCCGAGTGGCTCGGGAGTCTGAGACAGGAGGATCGCGAGTTAAAATACATATATTTATGGTTTTCTGCCTTTGAAGCGTTGGCTGGGAAAAAATTCCCTGCCCCAGAACAATTTGAATAAGTACCTATACAATCTTATAATACTTTAATTTTTGTTTTAAAATAACTTATCGTGGGGCTGGGGATGTGGCTCAAGAGGTAGCGTGCTTGCCTGGCATGCGCGGGGCACTGGGTTCTATCCTCAACACCACATAAAAATAAAAAATAAAGATATTGTGTCCATCTAAAAAAAAACCTAAAAAATAAATATTTAAAAATATTTTAAATATCTTATTGTGAAATAGATATGTAACATTCATCCTATTTACTTTACTATGATATATTCACCTTGCACAAAAAGGTAAAAAAAAATTAAGAAGCAAAACAATGAGTAACAACATTCTTACCATCCATTTAAAAAATGAAACTTCACATTGTAGTTGAAGTCCATTTGTGTACTTTTGTTGTTTGCAATCCTGTTTCTTGGTGGTCCTAACCCCTACCATAAATGTGTAACATTCCCATAAATATCTGTGTATACTTTTATTACATGTATCTCTGCACAGCATTTGTGGCTTCACTTTTTTTTTTTTAGAGAGAGAGAGAGAGAGAGAGAATTTTAATATTTATTTTTTAGTTTTCGGCGGACACAACATCTTTCTTTGTATGTGGTGCTGAGGATTGAACCCGGGCCACGGGCATGCCAAGTGAGCGCGCTACCGCTTGAGCCACATCCCCAGCCCCTGTGGCTTCACTTTTAATAGTCATTTTAGAGTGTGACATGAAATAGGTATTTAAATTATTTTCTCAAAAGAAAACCGTTGTTTCAGTGAAGTTTACTGGATAATCCTAGTTCTTCAGAGATTTAAGATACCACTTTTTTCAGAAGCTGGATATGGATTTATTTCTGGATTTGTCACATGATTTCATTCCTTATTCCTTGACAAACTTTT